CGACATATAAAAGAGCACATTCGACAGAATCCTATAAATATAAGCGGCCAGAAGCAGTCATTTGTGCAGGTAAATTACTGTGCATCAAAATGATATCAATAGTTGCACTGCAAAGGAATTTGATTTTATTCTTTATTTCATTTAACTTTGCTATATACCTTTACTCATCATTTTTTGAAAGTACAGCTTAGAAATAGATAACCCGTTTTCATTTAGGATCGATCGAAATAGAATGTTTGATGCATCGCGCACAGTTCTTTCTGGCACGAGCATGTGAAGAAAATATCAAGTTGGCGATGGAAACATCCTTATGGACAACCCACCCATTTGTTGAAAAACTTCTGGCTGAGGCATATCGGCGAGCGCCGGTTGTGATACTAATTTTTCTTGCACGAAATGCGGATCATTTTGCCGGTAATACGTTGTGCTTCGAACATAATTTGTAGGTGCGAATATCTGAATCACTTTTCTAAAAGTATGAGGCACTGCAGTTCTTGCCTAATTTTTAAACAGGTTTTGCACGAATGTGTTCGGAGGCGCTATACAGGAGGCAGCCAGCAATGAAATGGGTTGATTTCAAAGGCGGTGGCAACATCAAACTACAATGGATTACAAAATGTCCGCTTGCACTTAGTGCAAGCGATCATATTAAAAATCCATTCAATAAAGGTATATTGATTCAATTCAAACCAATTTTTAAAGGTTTGTGTATTGTAGTAATTGCTGCTTCTGCATAAGCATGAAAATATGAATTTTCTGAAGTCATAACACCAAAATTTTCTTTTTTGAATAATTTTTCAATAAATTTTTATTTAAGTGTCTCCATAATAAGACTTTGTGTATCTTGCCTCTCTGTACGAACTGCCTTCCTAATTATATATGCCCCTAAACTACCATAAAATTATTGCATCGGTTTATTCATACCATTTCTTGTTTTTGTATTTTTTCAGAAAAAGTGATATATGCTGCTGCAGATGGTTGTGAAATACAGCGTGCTGCAGGCCAGAGACTCTGCAGCTTATTTCCATTTGATCATAGTGTTGATTTGAAAGCACTGAAAATGAAAATTCGAGACAATTCACAAAAACTGCCGTCTTTATTGGAAACTGAAATATCTTATTTAGAATTCAAAAATGCGAAGAGGTAGTTTCTTCCTAATTATGATGTTTCTTGAAGGAAGTTTGTTTTATAAGAGAACTTTTTCCATTTTATAGATCATCCTTTCATAAAACTGAGTTAAATGATTTTAAAGATCTGGAACATTCTTGACTAATTCCAGACAGTCTTGCAAATGTTAGTTTCCTTTTACTGCATAATTACTGTCTTCCCTTATCTCATGTATTTTAGGGGTCACCCACTTAAAAAATTAAAAAAATAGTTAACTAGTGATGTACTCCAAGTTTTTCTTCTATATGTGGTACATATGCATTACTATGACCAGAGCCTTACGGGCACCGATGTTTTCTGCTCGCCTAAAAGTGTAGCTAAAAGTTATTATATCATGTTGATGCTAATGCAACAGGCTAGCGCAAGTATTTTCCGCATTTTTGAAACTTTCAGAAACCTACCGATTAAGAAAACTTTGAAAGATTTATTGAGTGAAGAACGACCTCCTGCTATGTTGTTAGCCTCATGCAGACATGGTAACCGTAGCAGAAACATTTGCGGAACAGAAAGTTATGTATGTGTTTAAATTAATAGCTAATAAAATTTAAGAAGATTTTTATCTTATCTGTGGCTAAAGTCTTTTCCAACAATTATCCTGACAAATTGTAGCTTTCTACATGTCTCGCCTTTTCATTGTTGAATGTTTCATTCATTTCTGTAGGAAATGAAAATCATATGTGTTTGATATTATTGTCTATATTTATAGAGTGCTCCCCGACTGCTTCCCCTCATGGATGTTGCAGTTTCATATCCTTCATATAACAGTGTTCGTTTGTCGTCATCTTTGAGAAAACGTCGTGCATCGCCAAAAAAATTATTATCGAAGCGCTATCCTTTAATGCATGGTAGTCATCATCGCTCAAAGTCATCAGAGTGAGTTTTCAGTTTTCTTCTACAGTTTCTTTTTCATCTGTTTCTCCATATTGCTTTTATTTCAGTCGTGAGAAAAGACACAGCTCAGAACGATTATCAGGACACAAATATGATTCATACTCAACCCACAATTCATCTAAAAATAATTGGCGTGAAAGTTCGCATGAAGAGCATGAACTACTTCGAAGGTAATATACAATATTCTTATTTCCGAATGTTTGTTTCAAATGCTTTGATATGTTTTCAAAAAATGAATTGAGAGATGCGAAGAGATGAAAAGCGATTTCCTACTTCGATCAGTTTTCTGACGAAAATTTTTGTTTTGTCCCAAATCTTTTGACACTGAAATATAACTCCATACTCTTATGTTGCTTGTGTTTTACTATTCTTAATTTGACACACTTTTAGGTCATAGAACATTGCTGTATCGTCAGATTATTTTCTAGTATTATTTCAGATTTAGTATCATGAAATTATTCAAATACATGGTCAACTTATACAATAAAATCATTTGAAATGTATGAGACAGATCTCAATTATAACGAGTTTTTATTGTTTACTTTTGTTTCTTCTTATGTGGAAAACTAATTAATTCAATTCTAAATTTTATTGCAGACATTCAAATCGTCATCGATATTGATTATAATGGGTGCGCCTTTGAATATCGAAGCTGTACTTTATGTTGTACTAATATTAATTTCATTTTTCGTTTCATGTTATTACACTTGAGTTAAATAGAAAAAAGAGCTGGAAAAATTAAATGCATGAAATATTAGGAGGCACAGAGAGCTTTTTTTGGCAATGCAACATTACTGTATTTTTGCTTTGCTTTTTTTAAGGAATGAATTGTCTTACTGCTGTATATATTGATTCCTTTTTTTGGATTGATAGGTAATGGTAAGGACAAATATCTGACTTATAATGGAATTTTTCAAAAAATTTTTTCCTTACCACGCAACTACGTCCAGTTTTTTAAAAAATTAGCCGATAGTATTATACAATTGTCATTATCTTCATTATTTTATAATTTCAAACAGTACTGTATTCGAGCCATTGTGGTATTTTGTATACAGTATACTTCTGTACCCTTATTTTAACACTTCTTTCACAGTTGGGGGTCATTTATTCCATCGCGTACGTGTCGAGCACTCACTACAAGGAATGCTACACCTCATCCATTCAAACGAGTGTTACAGCATTATATCTCATTACTTTAGCTCTATTTTCTTTCATTCCTTCGCATTGGAGCTTCTAGCTGACTAAAGAAAGAGATGAGAGAGATTATCTACTCCAACTTCATTAGGCCTTATCAGCGTAATTCTTTTTGTCATTGTAATCCGTTGAGTGCTTGAGTGATCTTGAGTGACCTATCTGAGTTTAGAAGTATGGTCCAATAATTTATTATTTTGTCTTTGTTTACTATTATATTGATCTAGCTATTTGTGAGAGATACCCAAGTTATGTACTATAGCAGAGTATCTTCGTATTTTTCTTATTTCGTTCCAAAAAAATCATATATGTTAAAGTTTACATGAAACTTCGTTATCAGATTACCTGTATGAAGATTAAGTCGATCATTCAAAATCAGTAACAGTCGTAGGTTAGGAATAATCATATCCAGTTAATTATTACGGAAAAATATAACGAATGATCATTATTTAGTGAAATTATTTTATGTTTTATTTAAATTTGAATCAAAAGTTCATGATTTGCACGGCGATTGCTATATTTTGATTTTATTTTCATGTCATATAGTTGCCTGCCATGTTTGATTGCACTTTTTAAAAATTATTTTATATGGTTTGGTTAACTGAATATTATTGCACTAAAATTGTCTTTTTCTATTCGTTTAAATTTTACGAATTGTGTTTTTTATTTGTATGTCCCTTATTTATGAGTTATTTTGAATGAGAGGAAGGAGTTGCAATCAAATAAACTAATCAATATATGATACTGTTTCTATTGCTTACATTACAAAGAAAAGAAATTTATGTTGGTTCGCTTAATTAAGATGCCTTTTTGTTTTTTTTATTTTTTTTCTGATCATCCATTATGCTTGAGTATAAGGTTAGCGAGAGTGCACTTGCTGTCCTATTTTTTTATCATTTTTTGGGATTCAGAACAAATTCTGATTTTTACATGATTAAAGTAAATGCTACTATGTCTTGAGTAAAGTTACTACGAATATGATTCAAAAAAAAAAATGATAGCTTCCAATTTTCATAGATGAATTTCAAAAATACGATTTATGAAGTCAATTTTGCATTAGCCCAATAAATTCACAGCTAAACAACATTTGGAAAGGTATACGGTAGTGGCGAATGAGACAAATGAACAAATGACACTCACTTTTCGGAACTTTATTATTCCTAAATATTAAAGAGTCATAGAAGAAAAGATGGATGAATGAAATGAAAGGTCATTGGAAAAAATTGCTAAGAAAATAAATGTATTGATTTCATTTGATCGATGTAAGAGGGGATAAATGTTCAGGTAAAGAAATCCGTGCACCAATAGTTCCGCTCTATCCTACCCTTTATATAGTACTTATTGATAACATCGAGAATGATTAATAAACTATCCTGTATATTATAATATCAGCAAAGAATGAGCGACATTCGTTTATCATTTGTTTCAATTAAGTAAACTGAAATAATTCGAAAAATAAAAGTTAAAAATTTACAAATCAACGGCTATCTTGTCCCATCATTTGTGCTTTTTTTTATTAATTTATTATCTTTAAAATTTTAGTCTACAAATTTTACTGATTAACTTACTTTATTTTAATCATTCTTTTATGTTCTTGAAGCTATCCAGTGAAAAACTAAAATACTAAAAATTAATTTCCTGTATCTATTACACATTTAAAAAGTAAATGTATATAATTAATTGATCATTTGTAATCAAATAATCAATAGTCATGAATTACTTATTGAACCTTGATAATAATGGAATACTTCATTAAATAATTATTTTAAAAAATTGGTAAAGGAAATTTTGACAGGTAGTTCACATGGCTGAGTGGTCTAGTGGTATGATTCTCGCTTTGGGTGCGAGAGGTCCCGGTTTCGATCACCGGCTCAGCCCACGCAGGCTTTTGCACTAATTTTAGAAGTGTTTACCGAACGATACTTTAATGTTACTAATAGCCATGCTCGGAATTTCAATATTCAATAATAAAGAGATTATTTATTGTCTTGTTTTTGTTACACATGAAATGAATAATAGCGTCAT